AAATAGTGTTGGATATTGTTATGAAAATGGAATCGGAGTTGAAAAGGATGAACATAAGGCATTCATTTATTATCAAAATTCTGCAGATATGGGGAATGCACTTGGAATAAATAATGTTGGATATTGTTATCGAAATGGAATTGGAGTTGAAAAGGATGAACATAAGGCATTCATTTATTATCAAAATTCTGCAGATATAGGGGATGCTGATGGGACAAATAGTGTTGGATATTGTTATGAAAATGGAATTGGGGTTAAAAAGGATGAGCGTAAGGCATTCATTTATTATCAAAAATCTGCAGAGATGGGAAACGCTGCGGGAACAAATAATGTTGGAGAATGTTATCAAGATGGAATTGGAGCTAAAAAGGATGAGCATAAAGCATTCATTTATTATCAAAAATCTATTGATTTGGGTAATGTTTCAGGATTATATAATATGGGTAATTGTTATTTAAAAGGAATTGGAGTTGAAAAGAATGAACATAAGGCATTTATTTATTATCAAAAAGCCGCTAATCTTGGACATATTAATGGATTTCATATGGTCATTGTTACAGAAACGGAATAGGAATAGAAAGAAATTTACAAAAAACCAATTATTGGTTTAGAAGAGAAAGAAATAAATTTTCAAATACAATTAAATCAACATATGAAAATCTAGATATTAATAAAAATTTAAAAAAAATATTAAGAGAAAATAAATATCAATTATCTTGGATTCCTTATTCTGAATTTGAAACTATTGAAGAAATTGGAAAAGGTGGATTTGCTACCGTGTACCACGTTAAATGGTCAAGAATAACTATTTATGGTTCTAATTTGATTTCTGTTGCGTTGAAAATAATCCATAATTCGAACACTCAGATTCAGGAATTTATAAATGAGGTGTTTATTTAATATTTTGGTGCCGCCAAGGGAAAACCACACTTTATACTTTTAAATTTATAACTTATTGGATTTAGCATATCGCTATCAAATGCTTTAAGGATTGAATTCGGTAATGATAAGTTATAAAATTAAAGGTCTAAAGTGTGACTTCCCCTTAGTAACACTCATTATTATTTATTCAGTATACTTATTTATTTTATATTATTGTAGTTAAAAGCATACGGCGAAATCGGATTCAACAATCCTTCTTTCTTACAATGCTATGGAATATCACAGGATGAAAAAACAAAAGATTATATAATTATTTTAAAGTATGCGGAAACTGGATCTCTGTATAAAAATCTTTTTGCAGTATCACAAATGAAATGGAAAGATAAATTAAATTTATTAAATTGTATCGTATCTGATCTTGAAGCTATTCATTCAGAAGAGTTATCTCATCGGGATCTTCACAGTAAAAATATTTTACAAGATGATCTACGTAGTGCATATATCGCTGATTTAGGTCTTTCTGCATCAGCTAGTATAAAACAAGAGGATCAGTTATGCCATATATTGCTCCAGAGGTCCTACAAGGAAAACCTTTCACACAAACTGTTGATATCTATAGTCTTGGCATTATTATGACAGAAATAGCGACTGGAAAAAGAGCATTTGATGGTGTGCCATTTGATCTTGAACTTTCATTAAAGATTTGTCTAGGCGAAAGGCCAGGATTTAATGAAGGAGTTCCAGAATGTTACATTACATTGGCTAAACGATGCATGGATCCAGATCAAAAAAAACGACCAATAGCTACCATTATTAATTCGAAAATTGTTCATTGGCTTGATGAGATGGAACAAGATAATAATAATGAACTTAAACGTCAATTCTCAGAAGCTGATAAGTTCAATCTAAAACCAAGTGAACCAGAGCATCCTTCACACATGTATACAAGTAAACTAATCAACACGCAAGAAGTATCAAATAAATTGAGTTTGGTGATTCCTAATGCTCTTTGAAATTTATGATATTTAATATTAATTTTTTTTTCACTAGAATTTTTAGAGGTATGGCAAATTTATAACGTGTAATCTCATTTATCATTATATTGCTGTTTCCCTATTTAAGCGATTTAATCGTAATATATTAGATGCACAAGTAAAATGATATTCAATAAGGAGCCTATTGACCTCCTTTGGCGCCAAAATTTGTAAGCAATATAAAATCAATAGGGATAAAGTTTTGCAGCAATCGGGTAACCTCATAGAAAATCGATCAGGATCCAATAGGCAAATAGCCGGATCAAGACCCACAAGTCAAATAATCATCAATAGGAATTTTTACTGATTATAAACTATTTAATCAATAGTAACCAATCAGGTATGATTTTAAACAGGATTTTACTGATTGCAAACTATTTAAACTGTTATTATCAATTGTAATTAATCCAGGTTTTTATTATAATTAACTATATCTTGATCATAACAGTTTAAATAGTTTGCGATTGGTAATAATTTCTATTGGCTACCAATAAGGTTAAGTTGACAGCAACCGGATAAACCCTATTGCATATCATTTTACTGTTACTTGTGGTAATTGTCTGTGAAGTGATTGTCGTGAAATGAACGGAACAGTTTATTTTACCATGTTGGAAAAATAATTGAAACATCTCTCTAATGAATGGCGTATAAAATCTAATTTACTGAACTTACATAAAATTACGTATATTGAAAGATTGTAATTTTTATAATACAACCCTAACCATTCCAGAGAATAAATAGCACGTGCTCAAAAGTCACATTTCAACATACAATATTAAAGCTAGAGGGATGAACGCGATGCCGTAGTTACGGCACTTTTTTGCCGTAACTCATTATAACTACAAGTTATGGGATTACGTTCGCACCTCTAATTACAGCTGTTTTCATAAATTTTGGAAAAACTGAAAAATTCCTCGATGACCGAATCGATAAGTTACGGAGTTGGAATCAATAAGTAACCGAAAGCGGTCGAAATCAAAAACTTATTGATTCGGTTTTTGGCAATTTTTTTTATTTGTCCCAAATTTATAAAAACAGCTGTAAATAACTATTTCAAAAATAATTTTTCCAACAGTTTTTGAGAAACATCTTTTATCAGGTAACTACATGTGTTCACCTAAAGCTACTACCATTCGATGTTATAATCTAAAAGCCCAAAAGCAATTACTGTATTGCACTGATTAAAAGATCCGGGTCTGATAGAAAATCCCAATAAAGACTTATAAATACCTTGAGGTAAATTGATAACGGTATATTGTATAGAAAGTAGTTTGCATTGTCATATTATATATAATAAAGAAGTTTTTAAGTTTTAATGTGTATCATATATAAAATACTCAAAATATGCTATGGAAAATACCTGGGTATCTTACATGTGATATTATAAAAGGAGACCTTTTAATCAGTACGATATGGTAATCTAAAAAGTAAAAAAAAAAAAAAAAAAAGATGACAGTTGTAAGGGAAAAATGATTCTTTTATACCTTTTTTATTGACGTTTATTGAACTCGCGATTTTGGTAAACACAGTAAATCGCGGTAGATCGCGTACTAAATTAGGAACGTACTTTTTTTTTTTTTTTTGGACCATGCCGGCAATTTATTTGCGATTTTATTGAACAGATAGATGATATTAAACAGTGTAGACATGACTAAGAGGCAAGTTATTGTCCGAGAATGGCCAGGAAATTGCAATGAATATTGCGCTGGGAGTCACCATAGGATTAATAAGCCAGTGGTTTCCCGTGAGCATAGAGATACAATAACTGTGATTAGAGTAATGGTGGAATCACGTCGATTTGGGAAATTTCGTTTCCGGGTTTTTTGTATCGATGCTCTTATATCCTTTATTCTCGTTCCACATCACAAGCATTTAATATTGTATTGTTCTTGCGGGATTGATATTGCATCGATTTCATTGTGATTCCGTGGCGCCGATGTGTGGCTACCTGCCTCTCTTCACGACCACGTGATCTACAATCAGCAAGAAAATTCATAATTGTAAAAACCGGTTAACCGCTCCGTCCCGTGTAACTTTGAAATTGATTATCTTAGCGTTAGATTGTAAAAGTTTTAATTCATTTTTGAGAATACCCAAATGTTAAGTAGTGTTAAGGCAATGAATATAGGCGCAGCAGTTTCACGACCGATAAAGGTATCCAATCCATCAGTTTTCTCCTTGATTTTATAAAAATTTACGGATCATATTTTTTTATGCAGAGAACTTATATGTCGGTGAAGCCTAGTTTTTCTGAATTAATCTTATCTGGCATACAACCAACCGACATTCCGCATATCGGAAATTTTCTTGGCGTTATCTCGACATGGGTTTCCCTCCAACGAACCACTCACGATTCTGTAAAATTATTATATCCTATTGTTGATTTACATGCTCTAACTATTCCACGGGACCCAGAACATCTGAAAAAAAGTAAATTTGAAACAACAATTACATTATTAGCATGTGGAATCAATCCGGCGAGAAGTTTTATATTCGAGCAGTCAAAGATACCAGCGCACACAGAAGTAGCATGGTTTCTTAATTGTATCACACCAATGAGTTGGTTATCGCGAATGACCCAATGGAAGGTAACAAAAGTCGGGCATGTTAATTATCACGTGAGTTTAATAATTTGCTAACTAAAGTTATTTGTTTCATCAGGCAAAAATTAAATTAAATAAAAATATCCAATCCATTGATGATGATGTACTTTCATCTTCAGGCTTATGTTTGGGATTATTTTCTTATCCAGTATTACAAGCTGCTGACATTCTGCTTTACAAGTATGACATTTATAAATTATTTTTTGATATCAACACAAAAGAAACAATACTACATTTCATTTTATTTTTAGAGCGACACATGTACCAATTGGTGAAGATCAAGTCCAACACTTGGAATTAACTAGAGACATCGCTGTAACATTTAATAAGATGTTTCATCAAAATGTATTTCCTTTACCATTACCAATTATGAGTAACGTACTTTTTTTTATTTTTTTTGGTAACTTTCGATTCGATATGCCACACTAACACGTCATAAATAACATGCATGAAATTCGAAATAGCATCGGCAAAGCGAATAATGTCACTTTATGATCCTTCAAAAAAAATGTCTAAATCTGATCCACAAAACACTCGGATAAATTTAAATGATGCTCCAACAATAATCGCTGAAAAAATTAAAAAGTCAACATCTGATTCCTTAAAATGCATCACTTATGACCCAATAACAAGACCGGCCATAGCAAATCTAATCACCATCTATGCAGCTACGCAAGAAATAACTGTTGATCAAGTTATAGCTGAGCATAGTGAAAGTAATATTAAGACATTTAAGGATGCATTAACACAAGTATTAATAGAGAAATTATCACCAATTCAAAGGGAAATTCAAAGATTGAGATCCGAGCAGGGTTATGTGCAACAAGTATTGAAAGATGGCGCTGAGAAAGCTTCCATAATAGCAGAAAATAATTTAGATGAAATTCGTAAAGTCATAGGATTAAAATAATCTTTTAAACCTTACAAATTGCAGCACAATCTTTGTAGGATTAAGTTTTAATAAAAAGCGCATTTACCTTAAAACGCGCCAGGTCTACGTATACGAACTACCTCGTATCGCCACCAAATGCAGGGATAATGATTTACTGTGTTTTACAGAAGACTTTTGAATGTTTTTTAAAAACGGCTAGTAACAAAAATTAATCTTAATTACTATAGAGTATCACAGAACAGTTTACTAAATTACACCTATGGTGTTTAATACCACGGTTGTTACATTTCAAAAATAACTAAATAATTAATATCTGGTGCTCTAAATATAAGTGTGTAGCACTCTCAAAATCCTTTTCTATATTATCTAATTTTTAAATATTTATGTCTTTAGTTTTACTAAATTATACTAGTGATGTTAATAAATAGTTTATAACTAATTTTTGCCCATGGTAATGTTATCCAGTATTGTAAAATTTTTATTAAAAAATAAATATTATTAAGGTTAGAGGTTAGAATTAGCCTTAAGTTAGAGTAAGAGAGATAACTAGTATTTTTATAACCCAAACTTTAAGTCAAGTTTAGTTCAAAATTAAACTAAATTTAAACTTAAACATTTTAAAAAATAAAATTTAGTTCAAATTTAATATTAAAATTTTAAATCTAGTTTAATTTTTAGATTTAGTTCAAAAATTTATACAGTATATTTAATAATTATAAAATTAAAATTCAATTATTATAAAACGCACCTATGGTGGTTTTGCACCTATTATATGTTTTTATTATGTTTTTTGAAATTTTCTAAGTTTTTATAAGTTTTGTATATAAAATTTTTAACATCAATTTTTTCACGTTAAAGTTAATATTAAGGTTAGGATTAGGGTTTGGGAAGGGTTTTTGGGGGCGTAGAACATTTTTACTTAGAACACCTCACATCGATTAATTAGCCAGTTTTTGAGATAATACAACATAGGTGATAAAACACCATAGATGCGTTTTAGTAAAAGTGTTAAAATTAATAAGTAAAATTTTAAGAATTTTAATATTTTTATAATTTTATTAATAAAATTATTAAAATATATTAAAATTTTTAAAAATTTATTAATTAATATTAAATAATAATTTATATTAAAAATCTACTAAGAATTTGATTTATTTTGAACTATATTTATACATGCTAATGAAATTATTTTAGGTCTGAAATCTAAAATTAAAATTTGAAGTTAAAATTGTTTTTGTTTTATTTATTTAAAAGATAAAATTATTATTATTTTTTTGAATATATGAAATTATATAAAATATAAATATATAAATTAGAATTGTTTTTTTATATAAAAATTTTTAATTTGCTCTAATAGAGATAAAATAGATTTTTTCAAAACTAATTTTAGTGGTATATATAATTATATTTAAAATATCAATAAATTAGATTTGCTATTATTTTTAAATTTAAAAAGTTTTGCAATAAAAGTTGATTTTTTTTCACTTTGGCTATCTTGCCAATATCCTTTATTATATTCAATTTGTTGGTAAACAAAAAGCACATTATGTAATTATAATATTTAGGTTTGACATTCTGCAGTTACTTCTAAGAGCACTTACAAGCCACATTAAGCAGATATATCTATAAGAGATATATCATAATAAATTTCTAAGAAACATATTTATTCTAGAAAACATTGTTAGACCACCACCCTGCAATAGGATATTACCAATCTGATGATATCTTCTTGCAGAGAAACAAAAAAAGAAAAATACTAACACTAAAACTAATACTAAAAGGAGAAAAGAGAAACAACTAAAAAAAATACTGACAGGTCACAATTATAAGCCTGTGTCAGGTTATACAAAATTACATATTAAAGTATAAAAAACTCTGCATTTATCTCTATTCTAATAATATATATATAAAATAAAAATTTTTATAACATTAAAAAAATATAACTAAACTAGAGAAACTAAATTCAACTAGGCAGTTTTGAAATATTGTTTGAATGGATTATTCAGCAAGTCATGACACATTTACTGATATGTTATTATAAGCATTATCATCTCTATCATATAGTATAAGATAAGCTGGCTATATGATTATCATACCTATTATAAATATGTGATTTTATAGTAACTGCCTATTTAGAAAAGTAAACAATACCAACTATTGTAAAAAAATATATATTAATCTTTTAGAGAGAATAAGCTAAGATGTCCACTTTTTAACAAAATTTCCTTAAAAAAGTGGTGATTTAACAAAACTTAGTGAGTTCTTCTTTGTAAATTTTATAGTTATATAAAGACAATCTTTAGTTTTTTTAATATGCTTAATATTAACCTAGTCATTTTGTATTCTCAAAATAATTTTCTGGTTTGAATGCTAGATATAATAGAGAAGTTTATCGCAAAAAAGTTTAATCTCTACAAAACCTGTTCAAAATAGTTTGCAGCTTAGTTTTATACTTTTAATACTTCATTAACAACACATCTACTTGTATAAAACCAAGTATATTATTATTCTTTGATATTTTCTATAATATTTTTTATAGTTTAAATTTTTGGACTTGTTAACTAGAGGATCATCAGAAAAAGTTTATTGTAATAAAAAGTAAATATTAAAAAATATTATTTTAAATTAATATAGCATCTAATTTAAAATCTATATAAGCAGACTACTTAAAATAGACACTAAAAATATAGCTAGTATATACTTTTTAATGTAAGAAATTTCTTTTGAACTTCTTTTGCTTAATATTATTTAAATAAAATCTTAGTTCTAAAAAGGCTAGTTTATTATATATTATTAATGAATAGGATTTAGGCCTAAAGACTACCAGTAGTACAATTAGAAAAATAGGTTAAAAATCTAAAAAATTATATATATAAATAATTTTTATATACAAAAATCTGATTAATACTGTAGTATAATTTGGCAAAATTTTTATTAATATTAATAATAAACTTGTTTAAAAAAAAATTCTTTTGTAACTGCTATTTTTTGTTGCTTTAAATGTACTATATATAGTACACTATAAATACCAAATTTTTTATAATTTTTTTAATAAAATAAGTAAATTAAAATTTAAATTATATAAAAAATGTTTATAGCTTACTATATTAAAAGTTTTATTATTAGTTATATTATAAAAAATATTATTTCTACTATAAAGGTTTATAAGCTGTTAGTTGAAAATCATTACTATTTTAGTATTTCATATAGGTTCGTTAGTTTTTTAACTATAATTTAAAAAAAAATTATATTAAATAAATTTTGTTTAAATTTATCAGAAGTTGTTAAAAACAAACTTTTAATTCTAATTTATGAATTATCAACATTTAAGCTAATATATTTAGAGTAATATAAGTTTAAAATTTTAAAAAATTAAACGTAGTTTTTAATATAAAATTTATAAGTAAAATTTACTAGTAAAACGTCTAAAAATAGCCAAGTTTCAAAGATCTCTAAAAAATTTAAAAGACTATTTAAAGTTATGATATTTTTTTTACATAATGCGATTTACCTAAAGTATATTGCAAAAATATTTTTAATAAATTTTTTATTAGTAAAATTAGTCAATAATTGGCCTTAAATGGTGTCACCATGTAGTACAAAGTACTACCGGTAGTACGCCTAAATCCTATCCATTAAAAGTACGATTTAATGATGTTTACTAAGCAATTTTATCTCGTAAAAAAAACTTGCAATTTTTTAAATGCTGCACTCAACTAAACAAAAGCTTATCTATTTCTAATTACTTATTGCTAAAAACTCTTTTAATAAAAATTTGTTAAATATTGTGTTCAATTAAACAAAAAGTCATCAGTTTCTGATTTATTTATTGTTAAAAAATTCTTCTTTAACGATGTTACCTTCATTTTTATTTTTAATTATTTATTGTTAACGATGTTACCTTAATTTTATTTTTATATAAAATTATAAAATAGCAAAATTCTTCTTAATTGTGAAGACGGATTTATTTAATTATTACCATTTTAAAATATACGATGCTAAAAATTTAAAACGAGTGCACATGATGCTAACGTAATATAAGTGAAGCAAAATTATGTGCTTTAGTGTGATTTTGTTTAATCACACTAAATTACATATTTCCGTGTCCCTGATTGTGATAACTGTCCTAGCGTACCAACCTAAAAAATTTCACTGGCAAATCAGATTTCAAGATCAGGTGTGACACAGAGAAACGAAAAAATCAAAACAAACCAAAAATCGCTTATAACCCAACATTTTATCTAAGAAATCACCTTCTGCGCACTAACAAAAAGTTTTCCTTGTGAAATTTTGGTATTATTAAAGTTTTCTAACCTAACTTCATCGCAAAAACCTAACCTTAATCTAACAGCGAAATTTTTTTAGCGAAATTTTTTAGATTGGTATAACGCTAGATCGGTTGATTGAGATCGTCAAATTTCATGCACCACAGAAAATCTGAAAATCAGCATAGAAGACACTCGTATCCGATAAATTCCGGAAATATTGTTGCACAAATTATTCATATGTGCAATTAAAAATTTGATATACGATAGTAGTCTAAAAACCGGCAATTTCACTATTTGTTTATCCATAGTGAGTTAAAGGTACTCACATTGATTAATTCATTTTGAGTGTTTCTAGTAGAAAATGGTTCTAATCGTTTTCAATCGTTTTCCCCAACGAGTTTTCATAAGAATAAAGGTAGGCGCTTGGTTATTGGCAGAGTTAGTTGAGTTTCTACGCGTTTAAATTATAAAGTCAAATATTAGATTTATAGATTGTTAAATCGTAAATATAATACTAATATAAGATTTTATGCCTTTATTAAATAGGCTAAGCAATAAAACGTTTAACAAGGCTTATTTTACCTGAACAAAAGCATGTATATGTATTATTTATCAAACAAAAAAGAAAACCAAGATCTCTATGTAGTAAACACGGTAGTACAATCTAACTAATAGTATAGACAAAGGGTAGTAATCTATAACGTGTTTTAGTAAAATGTAATGATTAATAAATAGAGTAGAATTACTTTAGCATTAAAAAAAAAGCTTCGCTTTTGTTAATAGTTATTTCGTTCTATTTCGCATATCGAAAGAATTTTTTTAATTGATTTGATTGGTCAGTAATCACGCTTGGATCTACATAAATTAACCAATCACATGGATGTTATAATCCGTGATTTTCTGTAAAAATACGAGTGTCTTCTATGTTCTGAAAATGTGAGTCTATAATATAATATCATAAATACAAGCCTGTGATTGGCTAAAAATTATACAGATCATCTTTATAACCAGTTTAAGTATTATCAATTTCTAATACGTAATAGGTATTTTTCAAACTAGGAGAGAAAAATTCTAAGATTAGCTCTGATCATTGTCAAATTCTATTAGTTTGTAGAATTTTCAAATATCAAAAATGAACAAGGTATTAGTAAAATAGTGTGCCCTCGCCTATAAATTTGTAAAAATTTAGGTGAATAAAATTTAAAAAATTTATTTTTGCTTATCTAACTAGCTATACGATTTATCGTCATCAAATTCCATGTGTCACACACTCGGGACTCTGGGAATCTGAGAATGTAAATTTTAATGTAAATATAAAAAATTCTAAAAATGAAAAGAAATTTATTTCGCTTTTCACACTAAAATCTTCTAAGTTTACAATTTTTTTTTGCAAACAAATCTAAATTTCTTGCCTATAAATAAATTTTCTTTTATTCCCGCTTTCCTGTTCTTGCACCTAGTAATACACAGGAACTGATTATTGGCGTAGCTAAATAGCGATGGGAATCTTAGACTTGTTTTCGAATCAAAATAAATTAAGATTGAATAATGCCAGATTGTTTTTTTACTACATAAAAAAAAAGGTCAGATAAATCATCCCTGAAATTATATTAAATAGTATAGAAATTCTGGTTTTCCCATTTTCTTTATTATTTTATTTTATTTGTTTAAATTATTTTTTATTTTCAATTTTATTCCATTCTATTTTTTTTAAAAACACTTTTGGAAAATTGTAAGAATTCAAATTACAGTAAATTACAATGCAATATACGAATTATTATACTTTACAAATTGCTGTGACCACACATAACGCAAAAATCTGCAAAACTTTTCTAAATTTACTATTGAAATTTTATGAATGCTACTTAAATAAAATACTAATTTTTTACGATAGTAATAACATTCATTAGATTTTATAACTAGATAAATGGTTTAGTTTATTAACTTAAACTTTACAAACCTTGAGCGAAAGTATCTAAATATGTCATGTCCATTTTGATATTTTAAGCTATTTTCAAATTATACAAGCTAATAAAATTCAAATGATTTTAAACATCGAAAAGCCTAGGCTAATATTGAAAATCTTCGCTCAAAGTTTGAAAAAAAAATATTTTTTTTAAGTGGGAATGGAATTTAGGTAGATTTGGAATTTCTTAATAAATTTATAATTTTAGGATAATTGTTAGTACTGTAATACATCCAATCAGAATCAATATTTTGGAATGAATATGAATTCCGTTCCACTAAGTTCTTGGCGCATGTGATTATCACACACTTTGTTATTTTAGGGTACTATCAACAATCGTAGCGAAGCTCCATATCCATGATGTTAAATGAGTATGATAAATGTAAGTTTGATAAAATAAGTGATGTTAAGTATGAGGTCATAGGTAATAGCTATTAAAAGAAGTAATGGAAATTAGTTCATCTTTTTTGTCTCTAGTTTTTCGTTATCACCCACCCATATCATTCGTCAATGCGAAGGTTAAGCTTTTAGGGAAATGTAAAAGGAGATTAAGGCATCTCGATTAGATAACCGAATATAAGGCCTCGACACTGATCAGACGACCAGATGTTAAGTGGTCGAAGCTAATAGTCCGGCTGAAAAAGTCTAATATTTAGTACAATGCTATAGCACAGATAGTGTATTCCATAGGTTTGTCTTGTGTTGGCTATTTGTATGATTAAGTGACAAATTAGTCGTTATTTTTACAGTAAAACGAATATATAAAGCAATATATATTTTGGTCTTGTATTTATAAATGGTGATGTGATGTTCATAAATCATACTAACGGCTCTTTCCAAGGGTTATAGAAAAACAAATAATATTTATAACATAATTTGTTAAGCATTACCTTTGCAATGTTCTCGAAATCTCAAAATTTAAGAAAATATTTATTAGGTAATAAAAATGTTAAGATATTGACCGATCTGTGCTTACAATAATAATCTGTTAATTAACACTTCATGATAATTGAAAGAAGGAAAGCAATAATTTGAATAGGAAAAAGTTGAATAATTTATATTTTAATTCATGGAGACTATTAAAATTAGAATGCTATCCTACAATCCAGCACAGTGTAACTTTCTTAAGGATAAATTTTTAAATAATCATTCAATTAACAAAGATGAGAATTACATTTAATTAACAGACTTCAAAAGTATCATGACAATTTTAATGAAAATAATAAAATAGGCAAAACAAGGCAATGTGAAAATTGTGAAAATTGGATTTATGCTATCCAATATTATGAGCATTGTATTATAACTTATTTGCAAAAGAATTTCGAAAACTGGTCTTCCGGAAATATTAAAATCGACAAGTCAATTCAAATTACTCAAATGAATACCGTATGTCCTGACGAAGTTATTGAGTGGATACCATTTGAAAGCTTTAGAAATATACAGTTTTTGGCCTAGGGTGGTTTTGCGACAGTTTTTAAGGCTATATGGAAAGAAGATTCAAATGATTAATGGAGTTCAGAAACAAGATAATGACAAAGAATTAGCGAGCAATGGGTTGTTTTGAAAAAATTCGAAAAGTTCAATCAACATGACATCAGTTGGTTTAGTGGGGTAAAATTTATAATTTAAATATATGTTTGAAATTTGTTTTAGTATCAATTAATAATTACTAATATTTAGGTCACATCCCATTTTGCTATTGATAAGATCGCAAAATACCTTTTTTCTTGTTATGGATTGACACAAGATCCAGAAATTTATGATTTTATGTTAGTTCTGGATATATATGATTGTGATCTACGAAATATTTGCGAAATGATTCATTAAATCTAACTTGGGAATAGCGGTACAATATTATTTTAAAGAATATTATCATTTTGCTTATATGTAATTCATAATCTGACAGAGTTCATTGAGATTTACATTCTGGAAATATTTTAATTGACGAAAAACTTGATTCTTTAAGAATTTGTGATTTAGGATTTTGTGGACCTGTAGAAAAAGATTCAAATAGCATTAATGGTAATCTTCCTTATATTGCACCTGAAGTATTAAATAGAAAGCCACATACTACAAAATCAGATATCTATAGGTTAGGAATTATTATGTGGTAAGTATTAGATAGAAAACATCCATTTAGTAATAGACAATATACTAATAATTTAATGGTTGATATTTTTAATGGATTAAAACATATATCATTAATGCAAATGTGTTGGAATAATGATCCCAAAAACCGACCAGATGGTTATACGCTTATATAACAATGTGTACGATGTTATGAAAGTTCTTGAAGCCAAAGATAATGGAATTTTAGAAGAAACTTTCCTTTTCGGAAAAAGTCTTCCAGTGGATACTTATTTTCAAATACATCTTTCAATATAAACAATCTCTTTATTGATAACCATTATAGCAAGATTTATTCCTTTTTAAATCTTTCAAAACATGTAGAATCAGTTGATGGTAATAATTATTTTATTGTATAAGTTATTATATAAATATATTATCTTTTTAACATATAACATCAAATTTAGATTATGATTATGACTATTCGTCCTAAAAATAAATGTTTCGATATTGGATATATTGGATTCTAAATCTAGTGCTTTGGTATTTAAAGAATTCTCTGAATATCAATAATTATATTAATTTACTATAAACGGGGTAGTATTAACCGACAAGCCAATCACATTTAATTTACTTTATGACAGAAATGATAGTTGAGCTGCTCTATAAATTCCTGATACTGTATAAACAATAAATAAATATGAAATACATGTATAACTTAGCAAAAAAAAAAAAAAAAGGTATGTTTGAAAATTTCTAAAACAGAAATTAGAATTTACAACAAAAAATAATGTAATTTTATGTTCCTGCTAGAGGTAAAAAAGAAAATAAATATACATGAGGTTACTAGTACGTATCTAACAATATAATATAACTAGCTTTCAACCCGTGGCTTCGCCACGGGGGTAGCAGATTTCCTAAACTACGAATCAGAATTTGAAGTTCATGTGTAACGTAACATGATCAGAAAATTCAAAAACAACCGTTCATTTTGCCAAAAGACGTTTATTTCACGAAAATTTGAATAAGAAACGACCTTTAGTGCTCTAACAAAAAGTATTCGTTGAGTAATTTTACTAATAAACTACCTCCCTCTAACTCCTAACCCTGATTCTAACCTTAACATTAATGGTCTGTTAGAAATTCTGCTGCGCCGCAAACCTGTCACAGAATTTTTATGTCATAATTGCATAGTACGCATATGACCCAATTTATCCAACTTGTTGTAATGAAATACCATAGCCCGTAACCTGATTTGGTTATATATTTCACATACTATTACATTTTTGGATAGACTTTTGATATTTAATAATTTTAGTTATCACAAATAGCATAACCGATCATAGCACTGATTTCTCATTCTGTCACATTTTTGGAAAGATTTGAGGTTTGGATTTTTATTAATTTTAGTTACGACAAATATACATACCAATACAGTATGTAATTTTTTTCGAACAATTATTTGGCTTGGGAATTTAAGTACATTGTTTACTCAATTAGCAAGTGCCACGACCAATATACATCCCTACATAACCAATACGTAATTTTTTTTCAAACAATTTTTTTTTGGGAAATTAGGTACATTGTTTACTCAATTAGCAAGTGCCATGACGAATAATTACGACCAATATACATCCTACATAACCAATACGTAAATTTTTTTTTTCAAACAATTTTGTTTGGAAATTTAGGTACATTGTTTACTCAATTAGCAAGTGCTATGACAAATAATTACGACCAATATACAACCCCACATAACCAATACGTAATTTTTTCAAACAATTTTTTTTGGGAATTTGGGTACATTGTTTAACATTTTGAATAGATTTAGATTTTAACAACCAATCAAAAGTGTTAAAGCGTACACACCCAGAATTTGAATATATAGATATAATGGTGCACAAGATCTTGTTCATATGTCATTGGTGCACTATTAGGATTATAAATACGCCAGTAACCTTAATGACAACTCTTCCAGTTGATTCTCTTCTTGTGCCATATCGTTTCCGCGACTAATCCTATCTTTCTCAATTAGTAGACTTTATCCGCGCATATAAGAATGATCATTAATCTGATTCAACATATTTGTAATGATGGTTGCTAATCGTATAAAAACCACTCAACTGAGTTCAATGAAAATTTTGTATTTTGACTCTGCAAATATATAGGATCGAAAAAAGATTAGTTGAATTTGTTCAAAATTTTTTTTTATATTACTTTTTTTCAAGAAAATTAATGAATACTTAATCAAATTTAATAAAAAAATTTTATTTTATTTTTCGAATGTATAGAATCAAAATAAATATATTCGATTTTGGTTGGATTGTTATCAAGATACCTTTGTTCAAAGTTTTAAAAAAATTCTGCCACAATAGCTGTTTTTAATATGCTTATGTTTTGAATTTTTCAAGAAGTTGAGAATTTAAACAAAGAAATCTTACAATTACCCAATTAAATTGAATGAAAATCTTGGTTTCATGAATATGCAGGATCGAAATAAAAAACTCAATGACCTTAATTAAATGGCAAATTGTTGTCAACTTTGAAAAAAACTTGGGAATCTGACTAAATAATGCCATATGCATTATCCACGACCAATCGTTCTCCTTGCCTTTTTCAATTAGGAATATTAGACGTTATATGAAGAGTTAAGACGAAATGGAGAAACCTAATCCCCATATACTTTTTTCTTTATCAATTAAATAAAGTTTCTGATCGAAAAATAATAAAAGCATATAAACCAATATTTGTATACGTTGTTATATACGCAATATTATTATTGCTGGCAAAACTTAAACAATTTCAACTCTCAAAAAAATAATAATCGCTATTTACAACTATAAAATATAGTTTATTTGTTTACAGTATACAAAAATGATTGACAGGAAATTAATTTGGGCAAAGTTGGAATGAGGGTACGGAGAAAAATCATACAAAAAAGTTGCTTTTGAAGGTGTAAGAAATCGTCGGTTTTGTTATAATCTATAGACAAAAATCAAAAAATTTAAGATAACAAAAATGTATAAAAATTAATATATTGTAAGATATCAACTACAGCATTTATTCTTAATAAAAGCATATAAAAAACTAATGACAATACTTTTTTATACAAAAGATTTCACATTATCTATCACCGTTTTTTATTTATAAAATAAACAAAATACACAATTGTTTCATCTAAAATTGTTTTTTAACCTAGTGTGTAACATTTTTTAAAAAAATGTGAATCATGATATTAAGCCGTAATCTTTAGTTTCATATTCAATATTCCCGGCCGAAACGGTAAATAATATATCAATCAATAATGTTAAGTCAAATTAACTTGTAAAACGATTTACTTATTTTGGCAGGTAATACAACCCCAAAAGGAAATTGTACGTACGTATGAGAAAGAAATTTAAGGATAGGATGTTAACTTGGGAGATATAGGAATAAAGTATCGCTTCTTATATGCAAAATTTTGTTGCTGACATTTTAATTAGTGCAACAATTTAAACATTAGTTTTTTTCTTCTTTTGCACATGTTCGGGTTCCGCCAATACGTACATACGTACGTACGTACGTAGTCACTACGTAGCTCTGTAGTCACACCGGCAAATCTGTAATACACAATTACGTATGATGTTGCACACATGCTTGTACGTACGCTGTGAAAGGGTAGATCGGCACTAAGGGGCTTATTTGTACCATCCAAAAATAGTAAGCGAAAAAGAGATCATTACCTTAGATAGAATGAATGTTTATTATAGTCATACGTAATGTACATAGTCAACATGGCGCACATAATAAACATGGAAAACATAGTGAACATGGTGGACATTGTGGATATGTTGAACATGGTGGACATTGTGGATACCTGTATGTTGAATATAGCGAATATAGTCGCAATATACTTCATAAGTATGTAAAAGCTATAAAAGACTCGCCTTTTCGCTCGAATAAAGACTAATTCTCAGAGTTCAAAACTTCAAAGTTCTTTAGTAGAAATGTTTAGCTCTACTAATCCCCCGAAAAGTAAAATATATAGTAACGGTAGGAATTAGTGGCCAAACCCCGTGATTCAGTATTAAGAGATCCGTGACGTAGTCTAGAGCTCTAATTGACTCTAGTTACTCAGACCAAGTCTTCCCACGCCTCGGTCGAAGCCTTACCATTATTAGAGTTTAGTTAGAGTAGCTTAGTTAGTATTGAATATTGTGTAAAATATTGTGTGGTAGTGTAGTATCCGTATTATCCAGACTCCAAAGCATTTCCGCCTTTTTCAACGTACAAGCACGTTCTTTAAAGAAGGGAATGTTCGAATTTTCTACATATCGTATCGCATAGAGAAATTTTAGATATTGCTTTTTTTAAGGAGTAATTCGAGCAAAAGAAATAAAGGCTACCTTTGAAATTCAGATAAATAATATTCGTTATTAACGTATTATCTCTACATTAATACAAGTTTAGTTCATTTAGCAGAATGTCCAGGCTTCATTGTTTAGACCTTTACTACAATAATAGAGGTAAATAACCAACAAACAAGGAATTATAAAAATAATCAATTAAAAAGGAATAATTATCGTTGACAATTTCAAGCCACTATAATACCCCACAAAGATTGCAACTTTAGCCGTTACAATTAACGTAAATAAAAAAAAACAATAAAGGAAAGCTAAGAATTTTTGTTTTACGTTACGTCACTTACGTATTTACAATACATGCTTACAATACATGCTTGTAACACATTCTCAATAACCAAATTATTTTCTAAATAAGGTTGATGAAACCCGAAAAAATTTGAGATTATGACATCATTGCAAATGCGAACTTGCATAAATACTTCTGCATCTTTGCATCTCTTCATTTTCCACTAATACAAAGGCAAATTTCAAACAAATTTCAAAAAAGAATTTAATACAATGGTATCAAAAATATTAATGGGCGGTATGCCCGAATTGATGGAAGTCATTTTCAATAATTTAAATGACGATTATTATTCATTATACTCATGTGCGTTAGTGAGTCGGCATTGGTGCAGAATGTCAATTCCTCTTCTTTGGCAAAATCCGTTTTCATCAGACCAAATACCAACATTCATATCCAGATACTTTTCACACCTTGACGAAAATGAAAAACTTGGTTTAAAAGAATACGGGATAACTATTGAGTTTCCCAATACTATGTTTCGTTATGCAAAATTTTTGAAGGTTCTGGATTTATTTTGTCTAGAGAGTAACGTTAAAGAATGGATTAGTTTACAGTTTAATAATTCTCTTGGATGCACCAATAGATTGAAAGACAATTTAGCTAACTTATTATTTAAATTATTTGTTGAG